GCATGGGGTTCGAATATCATCAGAGAACACTTAGCACATCCATAACTATCATACTATTAGTACCCAAGTGGCTCCATCTTGGCTGTTAGATTGGCACTGTACACTTTAAAGCTGGTGAAGACTAAGGAAGCAACTCTCATGTTTTGCTAAAGGGCTGTTAACCTTAGGCAGGAGGTGAGAGAAACACAATTTCATCTGGACAGCAACAGTTGTACAATTATTTTTATCTATTTTAGTGGTTATCAGTAGGGTGATAGTCCCTCTTTAACATGAGATGCTTAAACCCATATTTTCTCAAGCTAGGTAACTTGGTCACCATCAAAATAAAGAGATTCTATTACTAAAATGTGTTTTATGAGAAATAAAAGTCTGAGGGATGATAGAATACACCTTTAGTCTTATCATTCCATAAGCTGTAATAGGAGTCACCCTGATCTATATATCAAAACACCATTTAAAAGTATACAAACAGAAAAGAAACAAAAATTACAAAATTAGTAGTCTGAATTTTCATATTTATACAACCTCCCCCATACACATAGAGTTAAAAACATACTAAACCAGAATTCGATGCTTAAGGAAGATATTTGTGAGTACAGTAATATTGTCTAATAAAATTACAGGTAGATTTATTTTTAATGGCTTTCATAGATATATTAATTTTTTAAACTATAGGCTATAATCATATACATTTAAAATATTTACTTTTAAAAAAAATTCATTTAGAGAAAAGCATTTAAACATTGCAATTATCCTGAGGCCACAATATGACAACCTTACTTACAGTATGTTTTGTCCTGTTAGCAATTGACACAATTTTTGCTTCTCTTTGAATATGACTATTTCCTATGCATATAAAATAAAACAATATATATATGTATATATAATAACTGGTGTGATATTATACAATGAAGATGGGTGAAAATAATAAATACATGATCTGTCTTTCCACTAACTTTACTTTAGAGTATTTTCCTACTTTTGTAAAGAATATATCAGATAATGTGGTAGTCCAGGTGGAAATACTCTAATATGAGCTCATGTTGAAACTATGGAAGCAGGAACATGAATGTACAACATAAAGAGTAAAAGTTGAGTACTGGAGAGATGACAAAACTGAAAGACTTGTTACTTTGATATGAGCAGAAAACATTTGGTTTGGCATGTCTTCTCCTAGGAGCTCAGGAAGTTCAGTTGAGGTAGCCAATTATTCTCCATGAATTGGAAATCTTTATCCAGGAATTCAAAATCTCAAGTGTAATCTCATCATTATGTTTTCACTGATAACATTTCATACATTTCAGCTATCTTTTCATGGTTTTAAGAAAAGTTTCTACTTAGTACCTGCAGTTTCTTATTAATACCAAGGGCTTTCAATCTTTTGGGCTTAATACTCCTGTTGTGACACATTTAAATTAGCTTTTTTTCAGTTATGAGCCAATATATTGGAAATGTCCGTATAGAAGCTTTGGTGAGATGATTTTAAAATTCTTTGTGTATATTCAAACTTACTGGATCACGTGTTAATACCACATTGCTAAGTTTTATTAGAGATTGATAAAGTCTTATCATGTGTTTTAGTTCTTCTTTCCCAATGTAGAGAACTAAAAGATAGTGAAATTGTGTATTTCTTTTTATCGGAGGAGATTAATTCTTTGGAACCTCTAAAATTCTCAGTTCTGTTTTCCAATGTGATATTTATATTGTTTATTTGGGATCGTTATTCAATGTACCGTTGTAGAACTCACTTTCTTTCACTGCAAGTCCTGACTCTCACTCTTGTGCTTTCCTCCCCCACCCTATTTTTGGCCATATGTATCCTTATTAGGTCACAGTCATAATCCTCATGGCCAGTCTCTAAAAGTTAACTGAGACATTTTAAATTCCCTACTAAAAGCCTTTAACTGTGAAAGCTACACTTCAGCATCTTTATGGCCATCCTTAAGGGCTCTCCTCAATGGCTTCTTCTTTAGACTGTTTCTTGGGGTGAGGGGAAAAGGTTGCTGTAGACGCCATCAATGTTTCTCATTCTGGAGTCATCGATGTCACCTCAGTAGAGGCTTCGTTGCCCATAGCAACCTATATAGAAATGTGAGTCATTGAATTGCATATGGTTTCCTGGTTCAATATTAAAAAAATTCTTTTAAATGACATAACTTCTTAAGTAAAAAAAAAAAGTTCAAAACTGTGGAGAGCCGCATAGTGCTACGCCTTTAAGATGGCACTGGTCTCTGCCTTCCGCCACCTGCTGGCGAGGACTCTTAGGAGTAAACAACTCCTTATATGGCAGTGGCAGTTGATCTGGCTTGTCTCCGTGTGTGTGTGTGTGTGTGTGTGTGTGTGTGTGTGTGTGTGTGTGTGTGTGTACCTATCTCCTGTTGCCACGTGGCAGATGGGGGTTGGCTAGTCCTAGAGTACTTAAGCCTGGGAGAGCTTTCCCCGGGGGTCTTCAGTTAGAAGATTGTTCAAAGGTCCTGAATAAACTGCTTGGAGAAGAGCTCGTGCGTTGCGTCTTCCTTGCTGGTCGAGGGTGGACGCGACACAAAATACTGGATATAATACATCCCCTAAATGGAAATAGATGTACAAAATGCATCCTTCTCTTCAGCTTGTTTTCTCCATTTTATTCTGACCAATATACCATTCCTATTCAACAGTCCTGTCTATTCATCATTGAAATGGATTACCCACATCAACTATTGAACTTAAAATCATCTTGCTAGAGGCCTATCACTTCGATGATTCTAGAGTCTATCAAGCTGAGAAATAACAGAGGGTACTAGGACCCATCTTTGATACATGATTGACTAATGACCCATATTCTTGTACAAGCACACTGAAAGTAACCTCTTTGGCTTTGGGTCACAATTGTAATGACTGTGCACCACCAGGAAATAGTGTTTGAAGTTCTTCTCCTGATTTCCTGTTCTCCATAAACACCATAACTATCATAATTTAGTAGCCAAGTGGGAACACCAGAAACCCATAACTATCATAATTTAGTTCCCAAGTGGGGACATCATGGGTGGCAGATTGACATTGTACAGTTTTTAGCTGGTAAAGACCAAGGAGGCAGCTTTCATGTTTTGCTAAAGGATTATCAACCTTAGGCAGGAGGCAAGAGATACAATTTCCTCTGGACAGCAACAGTTGTATAATTGTTTTTATTTATTTTAGTGGTTATCAGACAAGACAATAGTCTTTTTTTAACATGGGATGCTTGAAAACATTTTTTTCTCACTAGAAAATTTATTCACAATAAAACCAGACCTATTACCAAAATGTGTTTTATGAGAAATAAATGTCTGAGGAATGATGGTATACACATTTAGTCTTATCATTCAGTAACCTGAAACAGGAGTTCAAAGTTACCCTGGGCTACATAAAAAGACTCCATCTAAAACAAAACAAAACTAAACAAAACCAATAAAACAAAGCTAGTAGCCTGAATTATGATTCTCCAAAATTTCTCGCAGAGGTTAAAACACATCAAACAATCCAGAATTCAATTTTTTAAAGAAAAGCATTTATGAATATTGATTGTCTGGTATAATTATGGGTAGATTTATATATATAATGGTTTACATAGTCATGCTGATATTTAAACTACTGGTTATAATAATATACATTTTGAAAAAATGTGAGCTATGTTTTAGAATGAGAAGTATTTTATATGGAAGATAGTCTTACTGATAAAGTACACATTGCTTCATACTTATTTGAAGAAAGCTACTGTTAGCAGATTTGAAATGTTTAATGTTTATTTTCTCAATTTATTTCCTGTCATAACATATGAATATCTACATTAAGAATTTACAAGTACACATGAAGCTACAATTTAAAGTAGACATTAAATGAGAGTTCACAATCTTCTTCTGTATATTGAAATTTGGTAGGTAATACTCAGTTCGGCCAAGTATAAAAATCTCAGTCAATTTGAAAAGTTAAAACATCATGGCCAGTTTTTGTCTATGAATGGGACACATGATACAAAGAATAACAAATTCAAATAATAAGACTTCACCATTAAAAGCTCTAAGCGAAGCAGTACTGAACTATCAATTCTACATTTGATTTGAAGACTTTCCAGTATAAAAATATCATGGAGATTCAGTCTCTGAGGAGACCCTCACACTTTCAAAGCTGATATTCAAGTGCTCTAACAGATAAGCCTAGTTGAGGTTTAGGAGCAGTATTAGTTTACAAGGTTTCCAGAAGTAGTTGTTGTTGGTGAAGGAGCAGCCATTCGAAATCTAAATGTGAAGGCTGTTCTATTTACAAAGGCCTGTCTTCAAGAAGAAGTGCTTTAGCCGTCCCTTATCTGAGGTTTGTAAGAACTTAACTGACTTGAATGAATGTGAACACCCAGCTAGGCCTTTCTCTTCTTTCCATGTGGAGAAATAGACCTAAGTTTGCATGAACAATAGCCTGAACAAGACTGGTCATATCAACATGCAGTCATAGATGACAGAGTGTCTTGTAAGAAAAAACTTATCACTAGGAAGTCACGGGCATTGGATAGCATCACAGGAAGTCATTTTCTTCAGCCATTTAGCTTCTTTTGATTTGCTTTGTTCCTGAGATCTCTTCATATATATGACCATATGTTCTACCCAGTTTTCTTCTGAACATCAAAGCAAAAATACAAACAACCAAACAAACAAGGAAACAAAACAATAAAGGCAGGAGAGAGACTTATTGAGATGATAACTTATAGTTCATGTGAGAGAGAGGTAATGAACAGAGTGAAATGTGACTGAAACAATGGGAAAAATCAATATACTTAATACTTTAAAACTTCAAATCATATGACATTTTCATACCAATAAGATCACCTTACAGTGAGAAAGAATGAGGGGCCCATCTTGACTCTACTGGGAAACTCCCCATGAAATAACCAGTACATTTAAAGAAAGGAAAGTTAGGCTCTTAGTTCTTAAGTGATGCTAATTCCTATCTTTTTGCTCTTTCCCCAGCTAGTTCAGACCCCCCCCCTTTTTTTTTGCTGTCTCTGTCTAATTTTCATATTTAACAGGAGGGAGGAGAGAATTTATTGTGTTTATTTACAGTCTCTAATCTTTTTTGTTTGCTTGGTTAACAAAGAGGTCATAGGACATAAAAAGAGATTCTTCTAAGAGCCACTGCAAGTAGGACACCAGGAAACTTTTACGGGAAACCAATATCTTTCCTTCTTTATCAAAAAATTGATCTAGATCATTGATGACATTTTGTTTAAGATTGTCTCTTTGGTGCCTAACTCTGGTCCCTTGAAGCCTATTGTCCATGTGACTGAACTTTACTGGGTCCACTTGATGCTTCTGAGTACAACAGTTGCTCTGGGCCATCACTTTTTTTGACAGGTTTAACTCATGTTGGTTAGCATTGGCTAAGTCTTCAAATAATGTCCCATCTTGATTGGAGGCAGAGAATTCCTTCTTGGGGGCCTGTATATTTCCCTCATCTTTGTGGTCAGTCTTGTCCAAGACCGCCTTGTGATTTGTCTTACGATTAGAAGGTGTGGTGAAGTCTTTTTGAGTCTCTGTCAGTACCTGAAAGAGGGGAATTATTTATAACAAGTTTTCAGTAAGAAACCTAAGACCTATCAATTTGGACTTACACAAGATGCAGTAAGATGAGCAGAGGCTGTGAGCTAATATTTACTCTAGACTTTACAGTGAGTACTTGCCTGCATGTCATTGAAGTTAGTGTGGGTTAGGCTAATGCAAGAGCTATACACCTACTCAATACATTATATGTACTGATTTCCATATTTAAAACAAATCCTCCAGGGCTATTTAACACACAACTTTCTGATCTTAGCAGAAAAATATATTCTTATTTGGGGAGATTACATAGATGTAATCTTGTAATAAATGACTGAAGAAAATGACTCCCCCTTCTCTTATCCAAATGTAACTTTCTCATTCGTTCAGTTAACAGTTGAAGTTCAACTGATGAGCTATTTCAAGTTGATGCTTTACCTTGTAGATTTGTGTATGTGGAGACCAAGTGCAGGATAGAAGTATGCTTGTGAAATGTTTGAACAACATCTAAGGAAGTTTGAATTTCCAAGAGTAATACTTTAAGCCCATGTAAACAATCACAGTATTTTCTCTGATATTTCAAGATGATTTATTTTTATTCCCTCTCTCATGTTTTAGGATTAAGTTTTTTTAATTATGTTTATTTCTGTACTCAGAGATCTCACTATTCTATAACGAAATATGTCTATGTCTTTTTTCTGTTATGTTCCCAGGAAGAAGGACTATTTGTGTGTGCTTGAACAACTAGACCTTATAGAAAGAATGCACATGCTAGACATTTGTAATGCAGAACCACTGTGATTTTTCTAAGCCAATATTATCATACACACTTAATTTCTCATATACATTTTAACTCATATGAAATATAAAGACAATTATTTCAAGCCTCCAAAAGTGATTTTCTGATAGAAATTGTAATAGTACATTTTTATTCATTTGATATCTTAATTTGTATTAAAAATTCTTCTGAAGAGATATTGTCTATAAGGGGAATTAGTGGATCTTTTATTAGGAGGGCAGACATTTAAAAATATTAATTATAATACATAAAAGATATTATGTTAATGGTTCCTGTTGAGTGTGGGCTGGAGGCCAGCACAGCTCCAGTGTAAAAAAGAAACTTATAATGAAGACATGAGAAAGATAGAAAAAGAACAGTGTGTGAGCTTTGGAGAAAGATGGAACTAGAAACATGATGATGTTTAGAAGAGAGAGAGAGAAGACTGTGATGTCCATGCTGTCATTGCCTGGTAGGATTGGCAAAATGGAGTACAACAGTCTGGAGCACATGCAGACAAAGACTCAGCTCCAGAACCTGCTGGTCAGCTGCAGGATTACTCCTGGCTGTATAATATGAGAAAAGGTTCACTTTCTAAATTGGACAACCTCGAAAAACCAGTGTAGGCCATGATGCCCCTTTTGATTGCTCTACCTAGTTGTCAGCTTAACTACATCTGTAATGAACTAAAATCCAGAAATGGAGGGCATGCCTCTCATTCAGATAGTGAGAATGGAAGACACAGTTTTCTGACCTGGATTTTGACATGGAGATCTTGAGGAATAATGGCCATGGATATCTTATGCACAGGCAAGATAGTATTTGAAGCAGGTAGATCTCTAAATTCAAGGTTAATCTAGTTCCAAACTCTTTAATCCTTTAAGTACATACCTTTAATCTGGGCCAAACCTTCATTCTGGAGGACTACAGAAGGACATTGGAAGAAGGAAGACTCACCCTAGGCTTCAGGCTTGCACTTACTTATGAGCATCTGTTGGAACCTACTTCTTCAGGTTGCAGCTTATGCAGAAGACCAGCTGAAACAAATAGCCCTGAGGAATTGAGCAACTACTATTGATGTCTGCAGCCTATGTTTCCACCAAAGTCCATGTGGATAGCCATTATTAGGAGTGTTGTCTGAAGCCATAATGTTTATGGGAGAGCTGGCTCACCATGTAGCAGCCCACAGCACTGAAATATAGGCTGTTGCACAGGAGACAGACTGCTGGCTCCATGCCCCTAGGCTACCTCACAGCTCTCCTTAGCTGATGGCTTCTAGCTTAGATGGAGGAAGAGACTCATCCTTCCTTTAGTGATGGGTGACTAGGAGTTTGACCATGCTCGAGTGAATATATGAACAGTATAAAATGGAATTTTTTTCCCTTGGGGGGAGCAGAGATGGGGAGATCATGGGAATAGTGTGCATCCATGGGAATACTGGGAGGTGAGCATGATGTGGGTCATGATATGACATTCCCAAACAATCAACGAAAAGCAAAAATAAATAAATGATCAAACCAATAACTAGAAGCTAAAAGGATCATGGAAAAGAGTTCAATACGAGTGAACAATATGTCATCACAATTGAAGAAGAACCAGGAACATGGTACAGAAGAAGAAATGGTTATTTATCTCTTGAGATTTAGGCACATTTCACATGCTATAGTGAATAGCAGAGCATTTGGGCTGTTGATCCTTATATTCAACTTTATTTTAGGAAGGACCTTCAAGGGTTGCTGGATTTTTCTACTCCTGCCTTACAATTCACAATGGAATAATTTCAACTGAAGATAAGCTCAATAGATGACCTTACCTCTTACTTCTTTACACACTGACATGTCTCTCAAGCCCCGTTATGTGCAAATTTGATGCCTAGTGAGTATTATATATTTGTAGCACATCTGCCTCTTCAAATGTCCAGTTCTTTTATGCCATTTGTGGGTGTTATTCTTATGAATGCTAGAGAGTGAAACCTCAATCTTTATCTTTGTAGCTCTGTTATATGCTCCAAGGCCAAATGAGAATACTGTAACCCACTATACTATATGGATTTCTGTAGTCTCTGTAATGTACTATTTCCCAAAACTGTCAAGTAGATTTGAGGTAAATATCCATGTAACACTCACCATTCCTTCAGTGTGCATTGATGGTAGCAGCAGAGTTATGAGAAATAACATCACTGGTAAAGGAGCCATGGCTGACACTAAGGAAAGAAAAAGTCTTGATTAAATTAAGCCATATATGGAACTCAGAGGTAACCAAGGCATTGATAGAATATATGCCAACACAACTCTGGTTGTTAAATTCTTTGACAAAATAAGTGGTGTTGACACGTGAGGTTGATATAATTTCATTGTGCCCACCTTGCCTCTAATTAATAAGTTAAAGGACATGTCAATATCACTGAATTACCTACGAAAGAATGAGAATTCCTAGTTTCTTTCTGTACAAGTCCATTCCCCTGTCCTCAGAAAGAAATGTGGCAGAAAAAAAGATTGAGTTTTTATTATTTTCTGTGTACCATCTCTTTTTTTGCTATTGCCTGTTCACAGTTTATATCTGTACCAGGTGCAAATCAGGGTGCCAGTGTTTTGATTATGTAGATATAATTATACAACAAGCCTTACAAGTGGCATTTTTGTGAAGAGTAATTGCAATATTTACCAATATTTTACCTTACAATTGAGTTTATTTTCACTTTTTCCCTTCAGTAAGAAAATACAAATACAGTGAATTGTGTATCTCGTCTATTTAAACTCCATCTTTTGTTAGGTGTGTTGTTTCCTTTTTCATTTCAGTTTACACACCCACTGCTTATTGTACAAAATGTCCCTTCTCAATTAGTCACCTCCATTATTTAGATGCTAATAAAGGCCACTTAAGGATACATTCTCTTATCTTTTGAACACATAACTGACTTACTTTGTATACTGAAGGTATGTTATCTTATTTTGTAGACTCTGTATAAATTAGAAAGTCTCCCAAAAAATTTTAAATATTAAATAATCTTCAAAATTTTAGCGAATGACAATGGAGAGCCATTATCAACATCGACCTACTATACTTTACATATTTTATATCATTCCCTTCCCTTTCATCCCTTCAAGTCCTCCCACTTACACTGTAATCCTCTCTTTCAAGTTACTGCCTGGTTTTTCATTGCCATTTATGACCAAAATTTGAGATAAAACATTCCCAACGGGAATTTTAATGTCTTATTTGTTTTCTTCCCTCATAGTCACCAGTCAGTGTCTGGGATCTACAAAACAACCACGTCCACCTGGATTGTCCTGCATTTACTGCCAATGACTATCTGAGTGATGCTCTTTATTCTTGTTCATGGTGGGACACTAAAGTGGGAATTTTAAATAACGCTTTTTATCCACATGACACCTAGAGTCTAAATTCAGGTAAAATGTGGCCTCACTATTTTAATCATAGGTAGGTGAAGAAACGAATTTGATTTGAGTTTTCCAGTCATCAGGCTCCTGTGTTGCTCTATATAACTTCACTTGGCTAATTTTTTTTTCAATTTTCCCTTTGAGTCCTTCAATTTCTCAGATGTGTCCCTAGTGACTGTAATCTTATCGCTGTAAGTACTGTCATTTTACCATGGAACTTGCTCTCACAATCAACTGTTTTAGCTTAAATATCTTTTTTTTTAACTTATTCACTATACATCTGGCTCAAGTCACCGTCCTGTCATTGCCTCCCAAAGTCCTTCCCTACTTCCCCCTCCCCTTCTTCTCTGGGCTGGTAGGGACCTCACTTGTTATCTCCCTTCCTGACCATGGCCCATCAAGTCTCTGAGAGGCTAAGCATTTTCTTTCCCAATGAGGTTAGACAAGGCAGTCCAGCTAGTAGAACACATATACAGTACAGGCAATACTTACCTTTTCGATAAGCTTTGATATTAGGTTGCTCCTGTTGCAGGCTCCTGTGCTCTTCTCTGTGCTTCTGCGAGTTTTCTGCTTTATTGGTTAGTGGGCAGGGCTTGTAATGTTTGAGGACAGATGTGGTACTTCTTTATTGGCTATTGTTCCTAGCAGAGTTTTGAGTGCAGAGTTTCTTTTGTGTTGTGCTTCTCTTTCATCAGAATATTTAACAGAGTCACATGGGATAGCACCCTTGAGTAATTTTTCAGCATCTGCTTGGTGGGTCAGTTATCCACTATTTAATTTTCCTGTATTTTTCTCCAGTGGAATTTCTTTTGCCCCCTTTAAAGCAAGATCTGTGGAGAGAATTCCCCATTTTTTCCCCCTTTGGTCTAGCACTTTTGGTCACAGTTTGCTTTTCCCATTGTAGCTGTATTAAGCAATACTTGTGTATTAACCTAGTTTTTCTTATTCTGCTTTTTACTGCAGTGTCCCCTTGCTTTTCAATGCTTCTAATGTCTTTCATTATATGGATTTTTTGTTTCTTTTTTTTCCTGATTTATGATGATTTAGTAGAGTATTGCTCAACTCAATTCTATCATCTTTGTCAACAAATTATTCTTGAAATAAATCATTAGTAATTCCTGACATTACTAGTAAATCTGCATACTTCATAGACATTTGATTCATATTTCCGTGGTCATTGTCATAATATAGAATGTTCGTGAGAAAATAAAAGAGTATAAAACAGCATTTCAGTTGAGGAAGTTGGATCTTTTTTAAAACTCTGATAAATAATTCAAAATATTACATCAAAAATCAGTAAAATGTCCCTATCGAACTAAGAAAAACTACTAATATTATTGTTTCATTTGAAAATATCATCATTATTTTAGCATTTTCTGGGATTAAAGCCATATCTTTCTGACATTTTCACTGTCCACATTGTTGATCATGGAGCATACACAGATTATGAAATCACAGAACTTTATAATCATCTTAACATCTTTCTGTTTATGCCATTCTGTGCTTGGACAATCAAAGCTCATATGCATTTCACATTGGTGAAAAATATGCGTTTATCTATATCCATGAATCATCAAGATATCAACAGTTCCAACATCATTCAAAAATCCAAGTCTCTTTTAGGACACAAGAAGGTTTTGCAGTTTTATACCCTTGTAAAGTTCATCACCAGGTGGTGATGGCACACGCCTTTAATCCCAGCACTTGGGAGGCAGAGGCAGATGGATTTCTGAGTTCGAGGCCAACCTGGTCTACAGAGTGAGTTCCAAGACAGCCATGGCTACACAGAGAAACCCTGTCTCGGAAAAAAAAAAACAAAAAACAAAACAACAACAACAACAAAAAAGTTCATTGTAACATAACATATGTACTCAATAACGCACCAAGTACAAAGTACACCTGTTTCAAAAAGAAGAAATAATAAAATAGGAAGAAGGAACCAGACTAAATAAACACCAAAGTCTGGATATAAAATCTTTCATTTTGTAGCTCCATGGTTAGTACCCAATATTTATGTTGCTAAGATTTGTGGCCTAGGAACTATGAAGGGTAACCAAGAGTAAGTGGATCAATAGTAACAAAGAAGAAAAATAAGACTGGAGAGTTAATGGAGGAGGGGAGAGACCACTAGACTTGAAAGGCATTTGAGAGGTGTGGCCCGATTTTCCCTGTCCAATGTATTTAAATATTAGTGCAGCAGAAGACCTGTGGTTGGACAGGCAAAGGAGAGGTAGATCTAAGAGTTGCAGAGAGAGGGAAGCATAGAGAGAGGGAGAAAGAATCAAGATGGAAGACATACAGGATGATTCAGAAATGATGTGGCTTTAGGTAGCCACAGGTTGCTATGAATGTCTTAAAGGCTTAGAATAATTGGGATAATTTGTCTCAATTGTGTGGGAATCTTGTGTACTGATAATATATTGATATGAATTTGACTGGTTAACTATAAGCTTAAGAGTTTTGATATTACCAGGTTATTGGGTATTGTGATATCTAACCATGAGGTTTGCTATTTTGTATGGGGCTAGACCTAGGGTAGTGGAGGAATTGGAGTTGGCCTACAGGCTACTCCTAGAGCCATGAAGGCAGCAACCATGCCAATGTCTCAGGGACCCCAGGCCAGAGAGTCTGCAAGATGGGAACACCTAGTTGGGTCCATGTGACCAGCTGGTGCTGAGCTTAGTGCCAGAGTGAACCACAGCTGGAAACATAGTGATCAGGCCCTGCAGAAGCTAGCTAGAGAGTAGCCTGGCAAGACCACACAGGGGCTGAGAAAGTTGGCTGCAGTAGTTCAGGAACTAGCTGCTCTTTTTAATACTTCCCCAAACACAGGGGAAGTATGGAAACCTAGTGTGAAAACTTTGTATATTGTCTCAAGGCAGTACTATTAAAGTCTTGAAATAATGATTTTTGCTTTGAGGAATGATTTTGTCCTGTTACCTATTAACACAGTTTTTATTTATTTTGAGTATGATTGTTAATATTGTCTACACATTTGAGGCAAATTATCCACATTTTATAATTATTTGTGCAACATTAGAAAATGAAGGTAGATGAAATTTAAAAGATATCAGGCCTTATCCTTCTATTAATTTTACACTTGAGTGTTTTCCTATATTCATAAAAGCATTCTAGAAATCATGGTGGTCCAGCTGGAAACCTTCAAACCAATAAGAGGTCACGTTGAAAACAAGGATGAAGGAACACAGAGATATATGAAAACATTTGAAAGGCAAATGTTAAAAGATGACAAATTGGGAGGACTCATTAGTTTAATATGTACAGAAAACATTTGGATTGGCATGTCCTCTCCTAGGAGCCCAGGAATTCCAATAATGTTTCCCTTTCTTCCCCATGAACTAGAATTCTCTAGGATTATGAAAGGTCAAATGTAGTCCCATCCTTATTTTCTCTTTGTCTGATAATGATTCACAGGCTTCAGACATCTTTCCATTGTTTTTAAGAAAGATTTGATCTAGTCCCTGCAATTCCTTGTTAATCTCAAGTGAAAATACAAAAGGATTTTAAATTTTGAGATCAGTATTCTTTCTGTGGCACAATAAAATGACTTAACATTTTAATTTGGATTTTAATTTGTCATGCAAATACTCATGCAGAACCATAATATTTAATGAGTCTCTCTATCTGTATGTGTATGAATATATACACATATGTATGTGGTGTTTCTGTGTTTCTCTGTGTGTGTGTGTATGTGTTTATATGTGTGTATATAGACTGTGTGGTATAATGTGTATGCATGTGTTGTGTATGAATGTCTCTTTGTGTGTGTGTAT